TTTTATACTGTGGTCAGCCATGATCCAGTGATAAAGTTATTCTCATTTGCCTTACTGGCAGAACTTGTTACATGAACCAGTTTTTGAGAAACAGAAACAAAACTACAATGCAGGTCAGAGCTGCAGCGTAAGACACAATAGGGACAGCAATCAAACTGCCAATTACGTTTTCAATGAAGTGACACAAAGCTGGTGTTGCAGTTAAACACAATAACAACAACTCATAGACGAGTTTCTCTACCAGCAATCACAGATCCATGTGATGAGGACTCTTCTGACTGCTCTGCTTGAGGCTTTAGCTAAAACCATTTTTCACTGCTGGTCCCGTTTTCTTTCACCTGCCAGAGCACTTCATGGAACTGTGGACTATGTGGACCATTTTCACTAATACACTGAGGGCCTAATTAATGAGCCTTTGGTAACAACTTGTTACAGAGCAAACAACATGTTCCAGTTTTTCTGAGAAGCAGATGTGTGCAGTGCACTCTTTCACTCTTTGCTTTCACCTGAGTTAAATAGAGGGTGCGGGCCCCACAAAAAAGAGCCCAGAGGCTACGGTGTTGGCAGGCAGAGTTTAGCCCAATAAGTGGCTAACACAGTCTGGGTCACTCTGTCGCTCCCTTTCATTCTCTTCCAGTGTGTCTCTTATTGTGGCATTTCTGCTTCCTCATATTTGTGTTCTTAAACCGTATGTGGGTAAATCCATTTTTCAACATTGCAAAGGTTTTACTCGGCCATGACACACGTCTGATTCCTTTGTTTGTTTTTTAAACTCACAGCGTTGCTATAAAAACAAACATTTAGTATCTAAAGCATATGCGTTCATTAATGTTGCTGCCACTGATGAAAAGGATTTCGTCAGTAAGAACGAAGTGTCCCGTGTCCAGCAGGCATTACAGTAGCATGGCACATCCTGTTCCTTCCCCGGTAGAAACTCTACTGGGACAGGGGCAGGACCAAAGCGCTTTGTCCATGTGGATTAGCTACAGACCTATACGTTTCTATGGAGCAGGTTAGGCTACGACAGGCTTTGACTCACTTAATACCCTCTCTCTGCAGCATGCGTACTAATCTGGGAGTTGGGGGACTTTAGGGATCGTTATTGTCTTTGAAGCTCAACTATAGCAGCTTTAAGTTAGCAGTTGTTTCCTTTTCCAGGGTCAGCTGGTTTTTTATTCCTCTCGTGGCTACTGAAGTCATTCTTCATTCGTGGATGTGTTCCAGAAGCAACTGTCCCTTTAGGCCTGAAACAACAGCGAGAGGGGTATTGTGTTGTGCTTTTGACATTCCTGTGTGACTCCCCGAGGACAGACTAGAGGCTCTGAGACTGGACTGCTGCGATAACAGCAGCAACAGCATCGACTACATTTCCTGTTATTGAGATGCAGCAGACTCAAGGGACCGCTGTGGCTGAGGACGATTAAAAAAAAAACCGCTGCTGTACTTCCTTACTTCAGCGATACTCCAAAACCTTTAAAAAAATAAAGAAATAACAGGCCAACGTTTTAGAGTGATAAGAAGGCTATCAAGGTCAATACTAATACCCATGGGTGTTTGTGTGCTTTTGGGCAGTTCAAACAAGCTCAGTCAGCTGTTGTTGGTACACAGCCAACGATGGCCACAGCTCTCAGAAGGATGAGACTGCTGTTAAATGAGTTAATGTTATCTACAGAGGAAGTTCACAGTTTCCTACTAGGGTACACACTGGAGGTGCTGTGGTGTGCTTTTCTCTCTGGCGCCATTCTAATCTCGTCAGTACTTTCAGGAGCTGGCCTCTTACAGTAAGGGACAAGTAATCCTCAACATCAGGCGTTTCTGCTATAAATCACTTAGTGGAACATTACTGCAGAATCTTTAATTAAGTGTCCTGTCAAGTTTATTTATACTGCCTTTTATCACTGTTGCAATCTCAAAGCGCTTCGCAATACCCACAAGTCAAAAGTAATGTAACACCACCCAATGATTCAAGGGTGCTGAGGGTTATTTTTCTATTTATTTTCTTGCTTTATTATTTCAAGACTGTGGTACACATGGGTAACGTCATTCTAAAGACTAAACTTGATTGCAATCAAAGTCAACGCCAGATCGGTCAAATGTATTTAAATAAAGTATGTCGCAGTTGTTGCAGTTAAAAATACAGATTGGAAAACCATCAGATTGGAAAACCATCAGATTGGAAAACCATCAGATTGGAAAACCATCAGATTGGACTGCCAGGTTGTGCCAAAAGCTGTCAACACTAGGAAAGCTATGTTCAAAGAAGTACAGTAACCACTGCAGAACAAAAACAGCTGAGGGGAATGGGAGATCCAGGCCTGACTTCTGCAACAGTGCGTTCAAGCCACAGCAGTGTTGCCAGAGGTTGAAATACTTTGATAGCACCTGTCAGATGGCCGAGTGGCTTCTTGAGGTTGCATTTCATCTAGACTAAGAGAATGCGTTTCAAAATCTTCAACGGAGGAATGTAGAGCCTTGGTTTGTACCCTCAGAAGAGTAAATGGGTATTTCCAAGACCTGACAGTCTCCAAACAACAGAGTCAAGTGGAGAGAGAACACCAAATTCCTCAAAGCAAAATGTCAAATATAATCCTCCAGCCGACGGAAGGGAGAAGCCATTACGGGCAAATATTTCAGAAGCCTCTGAATGAGGAACTGGAGGGAGGAATAACAAGGTTAAACTAAGATACGGCCCAATATAGTAATGTGCATATTATTTAGAACTACTCTACATATTGCATTGGCCTGCCTGAACAATATGTACACCTTATACACACTGAAAGTCTTGACATAAAGAAGCTGGTTCTTGTGAGCGCAGTAGATAAACAGTACACTGCAGTAATGCTTTGTGATGGTTTCCCACAAACGCAGGATATTGTCACACTATTATGCTGCGACAGACCTGCAATAGAGGAAGTGAGAGGGGTTTCACTTGGTTTTCAATAAAAAGAGCCAGCAAGTGTTGTGACGCACCATTAGGTCTGCTCTGCAGTGTCTGCAGAAACACTCACTGCAGAGAAAAGTCACAAGAAGGGGAAGTAATACAAATGCACCAAATCAAAATGAACATTTTAGCCACTTATTAATCCAAAGACTCACTATAGATTCTGACAGCATTGCTTGTGTCTTAACCATTACCTTATAGGACAGAGAGCAAACCTTTTCTCTGTATCCAACTTTTAACATACACCTTATCCGTTGCTGCCCTACTTTAAAAATACCTGGGGCTGCTCCATTAGTTTTCCAGAAGTAAGCCCGTCCCATCTACAAAAAGCCCATGAGGTGGGTCATCTCCTGCATATAATCATGTAAGACTGCTTTGCTTTCCCTTCGGCTGCGTGTGAAGACCCAGGTGTAGGTACCAGCCCTCTATTTATAGCTATCTGTTTGCCCGGTGCTCAATCCAGCCTGTGCTAAGGAGATTTAGTCTTCCTGCATCCTCTTAATGCCGGTGTAGAAAGCTGATTTCCATTTAAAGAAAACTGCACCTGTCTGAAACGTGCCGTGCTAAAAACACAGGACAGGCTGTTAGAAGGAAGTAATTCCAAACTATCTCCCTGGTGATCAGAGGTCATTTAAATGAATGAAGTCAGAATAGCCATACACTGTTGAAATTATCAACACAGCAAAAAAGCATATTTGACTAGTTAGGCTGTTGGGCTGAAATCGAGGGTTGTATAATCAGGCCAGGATTCTGCAGGCGTGCAATAACGCCACATTAGCTGAGGTCAAAACATTGCTGAGTAAACCATCCATCCACAATCCTTCCAGTGCTTGATTACACACCATAGTGTAGTATGCTGGAGCTTGTTATTCTTTTCTTTTACACTGTATTTTAAAAACATGATCTCACCTGAATGATACACAGGTGTGAAAATCTATTCTCTCATTGTCTTCCATACCCAGTGTTTTCATGAAACTACTGTAGAAAGAGACACTACAGGGACTCAATCAGTTAGTATTTTCCATTTGCTGACGGCAGGAGCATTTAGCCAGTGAACCTTCCACCACTCCACGGCCCTACAACACTGGGGTGAAGACTGACTAGCAGCTGTGCATGAACACACTACGCAGAAAAATGGAAATTAACACAAATTCCAAAAGTTATGGAAAGAAAGCACGGATGGCACTTGGAAGGCTGCTGGGAAAGAAAGGGAAGGGACATGCAAACCCACAGCCTCTCTCTGCACTCAGTACAGGCACTCATGCCTGAAAGTGAATGAAAACATGCAGCAGGGCAGTCGCGGCGAAAAGCAATGCAGGGCACTGAATTTTTTACGTTGCAAATGGGCTACCACCATCAAGTACGTGGTGGAACCTGTTTGACATAACAGCACAGCCGTGTTGTATATTCGTATGCTGAGTGTGCAGATGTACAGCACAATGATTCCACACCTCAGTGAACAAGGAACAGATTTTAAACCTTGACATGACTAGCTAGATGGAGCAGGTCATTTCAGGAGAGTGTGTGTGATGTGTGTCGCAGGGGTATAACCTCCTAATTTACACCTTCTAGCTAGTTAATCACTGACCTGTTTTAGGCTGCTGTTAGTGGGTTCACACTGCAAGCAACTCAGAAATCCTGTTTCTTTACGAGAAGACAAACTTCGATGGTTTCCTTGTTTTTCACATTTCAGCTAGGAACATTTTAAGTTTATGTTGTCACTGCTCATCAGAAGCCACTCTCATAGGAGTGCTGTTGCAGGTCCTGCAGATCACTAACACACGACTGACAGTGCCGCTAGCAAACACCAAACTCAAACTACCCCTGAACATTAGAATGGCAATGTGGGAACATGAAGTAAACTGCGTGCACTGCAGTTTGCCTTCAGCAGCGGCATTCTCAATCTGCGAGCCAATCACATGCAAGGCGTGTAATTCAACGACTACTTTCTCAGGGTGACCTCTGAAGTGCCCACCCACCAGCATTACATAAGTGTGAATCTAAGGGGATGCAATATTCATGTGGACAGAGGGTCGAGTGTACAGGTAAAGACACTTACCGCCATCACCAGCTCGAAGGGATGCTTGTACACCCGCACAGGCGACTGATACTTCTGCACCATGATGGGGATTACAGTAACACCAACAACCTGAACAGAAGTAAGAATAAATAAATCAGAAAAGGAAGAATAAAAAAGAAAATCATAGGTATTTATGAAAGAAGGAAAGCAGAGATGTGGGGCTGCTTTACTTTCACTCCTGGCATAATCACAATAACCATGTGCTGAGTGCCAAAATGACAGCATTATAGCTGCATCTGGCCGTACAACAGGAGACCCAGCATGTAATTAAATAAAGGTGTGTTTTGGCTGACTGCTTCAGTGATGCCAGGTGCTTGTGTGTGTGTGTGTGTGTGTGTGTGCGTTTGTGTGCTGGCAAGCGGCCCTACGAACTAGAAAACCGTGTAAAGTGATGGGCTGCAGAAGGGAACTCTCCCGAGCCGTGACCGAGGATGTCACTGATCAATGGATGCAGCATTTGGCGCTCATTTATCAAACAAGAGACTGTACCACTGCAATGGCTTTTCACTGCATACTACTGGGGATATAACTAAGCAGTCCATCTACTGTCTCTGCAGAAGCTCAGGTCACAGCTACACATGACAACACTGCACGTAAGGTGCTGCTCATTCTTTGCAATGTAAACAGCACATTCCACATGGTGGAGCATTTAGACGGGGGCTAGAGAACAGGATGAAGTAGTAAAAGCATACGAATAAAATTAATCTTTTAGTCACTCGAAGATTAATGGTGAAAAGACCAAAGCGCGTATATTTTAAGGAAAACCAAACAGAACATGGTGTAAAGACTAGGGCTGCACAATTAATCAAATTATTATAGAAATGGCAATGTGCAAATTGAAAGAGTTGTTTTGATAGAGGTTAAATGTGTGAAAAAACAGCATCAACTGAGCATGAAGTACTGAAAGGTGAGCAGAGGTGCCCTGCTCTACAAACGATTTATTATATATGAAAACATGTCTGTTTGCTAAAGACCCCCAAAAAATTTCACATCATCATGATTTTTATAGTTTTTTGGGGAGGGAAATTCAACTTGTGATGCAAACATTATCATTCCCACATAATAATCCTCACTCACAATCTCTGTCAAACACAATATGATGTTTCTACCGTATCGTGCAGCCCTAGTAAAGACAAAGGTTCTGCTTCCTCTAGGCAATTCAAAAGAAGTGCACAGTGTGACTTGAACTTCATGTTCTGTGTTTGTTCAGCATGTTGATGCATGTCTGTAACTCCTGCTATGCAGTGATGGGAACATGGCTGCAAGGAGGGGTGTGAGCTGACGTCCCAGCACTACTTACAGAGGGATCAGGGCAGGCACACTAATAATAACCGGGCTAAGACACACGGAATACAAACAGGTCGCCACAGTATTCCTCTCTAAACAACACATATCTAACGTTTGCTACTGCAAAACATCATTACCGTCATGCTTCAGGATCTGTCAGCAATGTCAGAGACACGTCAAAACAAGACAATTAACAGTTGCGTTAGTAACAGCTGTGTGTAAATGAAGAGGTTTAAGGAGACACTTTCAAACACAACATTCAGCAGGTTGTCTCTCTGGATACCAAATATAATACATGTCTACTTGAGTGATTGCGGAATACTCTGGTTCATCATCTCAGACGTTTCTGTACAGCTTTATTTTTACAGTTTTATCACGCTTTCGTTTTGGATCAGTCAGCAGACGCCCTATGTTGGACTGCTTTATTCTTGTTTTGGTGATTCTGTGAACCGCTTTGATGGGTCCGTGTTGTAACCTTTAACTGTTTTCACGTTTTCACGTTCAGAAAAATAACACGCTTTTAACCTCCAAATGTCATCTTTCTGGTGACAAATGAAAATGAAACTCAGTAACACGTATTATCGTTTTAACACAACCACCTTGATAGTCGATGACAACACTTGCCACGCCGACTTGTTAACGTTAGCCTACACAACACTGCTGGCTAAATCACACTAGCCCGCAAGCTAGCGTTAACTTTACAAATCTGTTAACTTGACATAAATGTCGGAACTTGTGCTTACCGGTGAATCAGTAAAAGAAATAAATCTGGGTTGGTTTAGTCTGGTTAGTCGTTGTATCTTCTGAAAGGGTTGTCCGTGTAAACTCTTGCCATTCCCCTCCTCGGCTCTTCACTTCGCCGGGTGACGCTGAACTGAAAGCAGGAGCTGACGGTAGTTAGCTTTATTGTGCTAGCTGGCCATGTAGCCGGTGTAAGTAACTAACGAGCTAACCGTGGGACGAGTCCTCTTCGCAATGAGTTGTTAGAGAGACAAACGAAATATCCTAAAGAGTCCACGGTTAAATCACGCAGAATAGATGAGGTGTCGGCACAGGAGGACAGTCTCCCTCTCTCAGTCCTCCTCTCCCTCTCTGTCATGCCCGTGATGCCGTCGCTCCTCCCCGTTTTCAGCTCGGTTTTTTTCCACCTCTCAGGGCAGCGCAATGTCGCGTTCATCAAGTCCTCCGCCTGTCCACATGTGTTCAAGTGAAGGACAAAAACAACAGTGGAGAGGACAGCCACCTCTGAGCAAAGCAAATAATCAGGCCAAAATGAAACGTCGTCGGACTTAATGTTTTATTTCAAAGAAGTCACCGTTAATGCTGCTGCAGTCATAAGTGATGCTGTTAAGCTGCGGTCGCCAGACTGACACATGTTTCCAGTGCAGTGAAATAAATGACATTCATTTCACACAAAAAAATACATATACATACATTACAGGTGTTAGCATGAGCAGTAGGTGGGTGACACCAGTTACAGTAGTATAGTATAGTACACACTGATACATTTGGGAGATTTTTAAAAATAATGGTCCAAATAGAAGCATCAGAGGCCCTGATATACCTTAAGGTCCCATTCAACTCAAAAATATGTTGGTCTTGGTGTTCCTACAGTGTGAGGTTTGAACATGTCCGTGCAGAGTTTGACACTA